ATATCGCCCAGCCCTAGTGGAACACCTAATTTCTCCTTGTGGAACTGAGGTTCCACTCTTGGTAGAGGTGTCCCGTCCAACAACTGAGAGTAATCTTTCCTAGAGAGGCTAAGAAGAGTGACCCCCCTCACTAATAGGAACACACAATCCAGTCCCCTTTCCTAAAAACTGGAATCACCATTCCAGTCTCCTCCTCTAATGGTGTTTTCTCGATCATCCATGCATCATCAAAGCTTCATATCAACCATGTGCCCCACAGTAGCCCAGACACTTTAGAATCTAAGGCTGAATGTCATCCACACCTGGTGCCTTGACCTCTGCAGAGAACTCAACCACCCGTGCTTTGTGATGAGCACCCCCCATTTAATCTTAGAGTCCCTCTTAGTCTGTCCCCTTCCCTGAGGCCAAGATGCCATGGGAGACCCTTAAGGCCTATTTATGCTTCTGACGCATAGCCTCTGCAACCGTCAAATCTGTCTCTGTGCACGACCGCGCCCCCCAATGCAAAGGTTCTGCAACCATCTTCAGACACCTCCAAAAAATCCTGACTACGCATCGGATGGTCGCAAACCCACGTAGACCTCAAGCGGAAGTGTGCAGACAAAAAGTAGCTGTGATTGGTCCTTGGTATGCCTTTCTGGCTGTCTGTGTGGTCGTCCTTCTCTATTCGTGTCAGGGCGCGCCATTTTTAAAAATTGAGGAACAACTACAATGGACAACCTACGCATCCTCCTTTGTCTTCTTGCCAACTCCATTAACAGAACCTGTTCCTCTACAACGTTTAGCAGCTCTAGATCCATCTCCGTGACACCTTGCAGATGCTCTATTGTTGTTTTGGAAGGTAAACACTCCGACCGGCGCTGCCGAAGTTCTCGTCACCATCCGCCGAAGTTCTCTGGAGTTCTTGAATAAGCTCCCCCTAGGGCTTTGGCGGGAAACTGCTGTGTGTCCTTAGAAATTCCAGACCGGCGGTGCAGAAGCATACGAGCAAAATTGGTTTGCGACCAGACGCAAGCGACATTATATGTCTAGGGTTGCAGAAATATAATCTGCCTTTTAGGATCATAGGGGAACACAAACCCTTCACTAAGGTGGTGGTTCATCAGAGGGTGTGTAGTAACCCTGATTATAGAAGTATTAATATACTTTACTAGATTGATAATGTAAATGTACACAATTTGAATTTCATTAAATCCTCTTTTCTCTGCTCCAGGTCTGTTCCAGTTTATTCTAAACCATCACAATAAAAACTGATTAACAACTTTTAGTACTGCTGCAGATATAGAGTCATGACTCCATTGTAGAAACATTTCAGGTAAATAGCAAGAGGTTGCTCTGAACCTTATTTAGTTGGAGAAACAATGAGTATGAGTCTCGTTTTACTCCACAACAGGAGCTCTCTGCTGGCTCTTTGACCTGAAGTATCATTTTCAGTAAGTCCCACATGATCTATAATGGTGAGCAGTGAGATAATGGGGGTGTCAGGGTTAGTTGAGGTTGCCTCTACAAGCTCTTCAATGACTCAGGGTAATGGTGCTTTGAAAGATTTGTATCACATGTGTGACTCATGCTCTCACTCTGTCTCTCAACCCTTTCTGCATTTAATAAATCACTGTCACTGCATATGGTTTGCTTAGAATTAAGTAAGTACAACGCTGGCAACCAGACAGCAAATGTTATTAGGCAGAGTGTTTTTTGAGAGTGTGTGTGTGTGTGTGAGTGAATGTGGACTGCCAACCTCTTGCAAATGAAGTTAGCTCAAGGAAAATTAAACTCCTGTTCCATATTTGGTTTTGTAATTGTTTTGCAGAAATTGTTTATTCTTGCTGAATATAACAGGAACTTCCACAAGGCAGCTATTTGAAATGTTTTAGTTTTTTTAACATAAAGGAATACAAAATCTTTACTGTCTGGGTTTTTGGTTTTGTTAATTTCTTTTAAGTCAAGATAAATTAGAAACTTTTAAGAGGTCAAATCGTTTGTATAATGTCCTGATAGGTGAAACCCAGAACATGAATAGGAGTTTATATATTAAAGATCAAGAAAAAAAATATTTTTTTTCCTTAGGTTACATGCTAAATTTTACCATCTCTCCTTTTCCCTGTGTCAGAGGGTTATGGTTGCACAGACATGTCCTAATCAGGTATTGACTATAACAAGCAGACTCATAAAGGGTGGGGGTTTGCCCTTTCTAAGGATTCCAGCACATAAAAAAATATATACTTACAGGTACCCTTAGGAAAATAAAAGCTGTGCTGCAGGTTCTTTGAAAGAGGTAGTTTCTTTGAATCCAGGAGAACGATTCCATGGTAAATGATCACATATACAGTCCCATAAAAACTAATGGGCCTCTTATAGATTTTTTTGCGTTTTTCGTTTTCTCTCAACCTTCAAAGTGTCAGATCATCAAAAAATAGATATACGTAGTATAACAGAGTAAATATAAAAAGCAGCTATCAGATGGTGATTTCAATTCCTAAAGGGGAGAAAAGTCATTGCAGCAACTTGGCCCCTCGGCCCTAAACCTAAGAAGAGACTTTGACCCCCTGCCATCACCTCCACTGTTTCTTGCTGATTTTATTTTTCAGTACACTGTTACCAAGCTGGCGGTGCCTATTTTAAGGTCATAGGCCAATCAGAAACCTTAAGAAACTGATGGATGGACATTATATATCAGGATTTTGTTCTGCAGAACAGAATTGTTATATTTTTAATTAACAGAAGAAAGCAAAAAGTAAAAGTGTAATGGTGTTTTTTATTTTTTCGGAAATGCGTAGTTCTTGAACCAGAAGTAGCAGCTTTAATACCTCAAGAGTTTTTTGTAAAATATTTTTCCAATAGTGTTGCAGTTCATCAAGCTATGGCACTAGGGCTGAAAAATCTAATCTCCAATTTTTTTTTCCTACCTAAGCATAATAAAGAAATACAATTTGCATATATTGCTTTTGAAAGCTAGGCTGTATTGCAATCACCCTCCCTGGGAGGTGAATTTAACTTAAAGG